ACAATAAAGTAATAATGCCGGCTCTGTGTTTACTTTAAGCTTCACCTAAAGGTCATGATAAAGACTGTTTTTAGTTAACATGATGACCGATCAACGTCACCACTTGGTGGCTTAATTGACAACTTTCACACATTTTGAGAGGAGATTAGAGACCCCTGCTTTGAATTTTTTTCTCTTGTTAAGCTCCTCGTGTTTATTACATTATGGTTCAATATAGTCCAATTCTTCTCAATGCTTCGACTACAACACTCATTGTTGTCACTTCATCGTTTTGATATATTCAAGCAGAATCCCGAGTTCACGCAGCTATGCGTCTAGTTTTTTATTGTGTTTGTCTAGTCAGAAAATCTTGCTACGACAACTTGTCTGGTTCTTAAAAAAAATCAGGTTTTTCTAGATGCAATTTTTTTTCACAAACTCTTTTAAGGTCTTTTACTATTGAAGTTTAATCCCCTCTAACGCCAAACCTCTGGAGATCACGTGATTCGTGCCAGACGTCAATTTTGCCGTAAATTTTGAATTTAAATTTTTGAGTGTTTGACTGCGGGAGAGGTGTTTTGAGGTAAGAGTTGTCCCTCACATTTTTAAATGCTAATTTTTCAAATATCCCACCTATCACTGATATAGGTACTTGAAATATCATCTTATGCTTATTATAAAACTATATGAAGAGGRAAAAAAAGCTATTTAAACTACAAAATTTTATTTTTATGAACTGCTCTTTTCGACTGCTGGAAAACAGAAGTGGCAGCTTCTCGAATATCGTCGTATTTCGTAAAACCTTTTGTTGCAAACAGTCATCTATCCCCTAAAAACAGCTGCTCATATGATTTAAAACGTAGTTCCATTGATAAAAAGTAATAAAGAGTTTTAATTCTTTTTCATTCGAAAGATATTAAGCTTGATTCAAAAGTATGGCTCCGTTCAGATGGCMATTGCTTGAGCATGACATAATGTTGGCAAAGCAAGTCGCATCYGACAGGCCGGAAAAACCTGCTGAGTGGGAAAAGATTGGAGACATCCTTAGTGCCGTTTTTAGCAATGATAAAGTCGTAGAGCTGAAGGGAAGAGGATGCAAGGAAAGAATTGAACGTCTTTTGGCTAAGATCAAAGAAGAAGACACACGATCTCTGAAACGGTAATAAAAATAATAASAAATGAATCATTTTAATTTGTCTAAGTTGTTGCACTATAAGCATAAGTTTTCTTCCCAAGCATTGTAGTACCACTATGGAAGCAGTTGCCGTAAAACCTTTTTATATGTTACAAAGTTCTTTTATTTCAAATGTATGCAATAATTTAAGCTTAAGCTTATATTTTATTATTTATTTATGTACTCCCGAAATAGTTTGTTTTTTTTTTGCAGACTTTTTATCATAGTGTCAGCGTAAACTACTATTATACGGATGAATACGATTAATTGATGTATTTTAAAATTATTGTTATCAATAATTATTTATGCATGTATGTGTGTTTATTTATTCAGATCTGGAACTGAAGAGGAGTACAATGAACTCCAAAGACTTCTAGAAGACATAAAAACATATCGAGAATCGCAGGAAATTATAAAGGCTAAAGAAAAAGAGGACAAACGACTCAAAGCTGTTAATGAGAAAAAAAAAAGAGATGCGAGATGCAGCCATGCAAAGAATGTTAAGTATGTACATGATCATAAAATATGCACAAGGGGTGATATAGCAGGCCTTGATCAGGGGTGCCATGATCTTGGAAGTTAATAGGCATGTTAGTGGTTAATGTGCCTAATGGTGTGTTAAGAATTTCGCTACATGTCTGAGTGTTACAGCTGTAAAACAAATTATACATCCTGTATAAAATTATGTTTCATATTAAGCAAAATTATAAATCCTTAACAAAATTATGTTTCATATTAAGCAAACCCTTTTCTTGTATTTTAGAGAGAGGTATTGAGTCATCAGATGAAGTCCAACACAGGACAAATGTAAGTATCCAATATTGAATATCATGGCAAGTCAGTGCAAAAAAAAAATCTGAAAAATAGTAATAACATTTTATAATATTATTGTGACTTATTAGACAAATCATTTGCACCTTGAAAAATTACTTTATTCAATCCAAAATTATGAAGACAATCCAAATTACCTAATCAAAGTAATTTAATATTGGTAACATGATTCAACTGTATAAAAACATTCTATCTATGATTCTTTTATACTGAAACTTCAAGTAATTCAGTTGTTATAAGTTTTTCTAGTTATCTATTTCTTTCAAGACTTCTGTTTCTATTATAATATGTATTGATTCACTGAACCAAACTTTTCACACAGCCAACACTGTTAAAAGAMGAGCAACAAAAATGTCTGCAATTGAAATGCTTTCAAACAAGTATGACCAGAAAGCAGAGTTGAAAGCAAAAGAATTAGAAATAAGAAAAAAAGAGCTTGATTTGAAACAAAGACAAATAGAGTTGGAACAAGRTGAGAGAAAAAAGAAACTTGAACTCGAAGTGGAAGAAAGAAGAGCCATTTTCAAGATACTTCAGAAACAAATGTTATAAACAATCCATGACAGTATGAACAAGTTGTCATGCTTAAATATAATATATATTTCTAATATATATTTCTTACCGGTGACAACTTTTTGCATATTTGCATATTCATATTCCATGTGCAATTTATTTAGTGGACAGACATGCATTTAGTATCAACATTGAAGTCAAATTACATGCAATAAACATAAGATCAAACTCCTTTGTGTTATTTATGAAAACTGCTAAAATTAAAAATATCTTCCCCACAACGGAATGCCTACAAGTTAAAAAAAAAGCATAAAATCATAAAAAAAAACCCTTATAATTTGAATATTTAATGAGGAATTTTCTTGGAGATTTTACAATCTAACCATGTCCACTTCAGTCTGATAAGGGTAATTATACATTTTCCAAGTACACTTCAAGTGATGGTGGTTCTACATCAAAGTATTTACTTGTAACAGAGCTTGCCAACAGGTTGAAGGAGAACCTTCAAATTCTTTTTAAAGTCTAAATAAGTAAAATATTGCTTGATTTTACCAAATCCCCACTCAACAMTTATGCGAGCCTTACTCATTTCACTATTRAATTGCTACTGTAAAGCAGCAAGATGTGCCCCTCTGTAAGGCGATATTATGTTTTATGAGATGCCATATGCTGGATCGCCATATACAACATATGGATMACCATTTGGTTTGGTTATTCGTTGAAGCTGTTGTTGAAGGTCACTAACTCCCAGCATGAATGYATCGTGACGTTTACCTTCAATAGGTCCMAAGAGATGTGCAATCAATCCATTTGGAGCAGTAACAGACTAAAAATTAAAGCAAATCAAAATCTAATAACTGATGCTATTTCTCATCAATAGTCGTTTAAAATGACATCGAGACATTGAATAAAAATATAGTGTTGACATGTAATCATACAGATTTCATGTTGTTATTCTCTTTGATAGATACGTATGATTTTAACAATTTATTACCTGGAATTTAATACAATGAACTCTTCTATGTCCACTGTACAAAATGTTTTGGTTCCTCCCTGTGGTGCCATCAATAAATCCCCAACACTGTGTCAAAGGAGCACCTTTCTGGTGAACAGCATTGGCAAATAAAGCAGGATCCAGCCATGACAGGTCCAAAGAACTCAACAAATGATTGAAGTTGTTGTAGACATCATCAATAATCTAAAATTATTTATTGTATTGTACTATAAGACGTGAAACA